TGTATCCCCCCATGCTGCCCTCGGGTGCTGGGGTGGTACCGGTCCGGTCACTACCCAGGGATATTTTGTCATTTAGCTCTTCGTCGTCGGCGTATTCGCCCATGTGCCTATCCTTGTCTTCCGGTTCCAGGTAAAGCGGGTCAGCTTTGTCCTGTAGGGAGTGTTCTGTGAAGATGATGTGGGATCTGATGATGGCTGCCAGGGAGTCGTCCATGACCTCCGTCGGGCACATCTTGCCTGCAAGTGTGCTGTATGGTGGAGCAGTCACCGTGTTCCATGCTCTCCACACCAGCCCCTCGTGCAGCCTAGATTTTTCTTCTAGTTTTACAAGGATTGGTTCGAAAGATCTAGCTGTGGCGAGTTCCTGGTCGATCTTGTCTGAGCCTTCCCTGTGGGGGGCGGGGATTCTGAAGACTCCTAAGGGGGAGTCTTCGGATATGCCTTCTCTGATTGTTCTCCCGCGGTCGGGAAGGCGAAGGATACGTATGTGGCTACCTGCCACTCCCCAAACTTCTTCTGTATCGGATGGGGACCAGGGGTCTGACTGGTTTGATGGTTTTGCGATCTGAGGTAACTTTCTCAGTGACATGGGGGGCCTTGTTGTCTGCCAGGTTTTGGATGGTACAGTATTCTTTTCTGTGGCTTTTTTGGTATTCCATGTTCTGATCAAACAGGCACTTTGTCTGAGCAGCGATGATGGCGATCTCCTGTTTGAGCAATCGCTGCTTGTTGCCATTTCCGAAAGTATCCGTCGTGTTTTTTTTGGATCTCTTGCTCCTGCCCTTTGATGGCTTCCACTTCTTTGGTACCATGTCTCTGATTGGGTCCTTGTGGGCCTGAGTTTCTGCACTGGATCCGAACTCAGAGCTCGAGTTGTCTCTCTCCCTCTTCTTCTCATGATACCTGAAGGTGTTGAATTCTGACAGCTCACTCTGTTCTCTCAGGATGTTGTAGGTTTTCATGGATGTGTGGATGCCTGCTACCGGGCCTTTGCTGCTCCGGCCTGTCTTCTCCTGATGCTTCATGCATGCCACTCTGATGTTGAATTCTTTCTCCCTCTCGTTTCTGGCTCTTTCCAGGTATTGCTGCAGCCAGGCAATGGGGGAATCTCCCTGTTCTTTCGGTTTGCCTTCCCTGTCGCTCTTGGAGGGGGATATGTCCATTCCTTTGTGGGTACAGTCCTGATTTGTTTTTGGGTTGGGGTCTGATTCAGTTGGGTTTCCCTTTTCCGTTGAGCTGTTCTTTCTTATTTTTTTCCTACTCGGTGTCTCGGTGTTCTCCTTTTGTGGGGAGGCCTGTCTCTTGAGTGAGGGGTCGGTCTGTAGGGTGCGTCCCTCGATGATCTGTTTGGCTGCGTCCAGGATGTCGTTGTCCTCTTCACTCATGGCGAGGGCGCCTGCGGTCTGCTGTCTGATTGACTCAAGGTTCCACAACAGGTCTTCGTGTTTCTTATCTTCTTTGATCGCGCGGGAATCCACCACCGGGTCTGAGTATATTTTCCCAGGGATTCCTGTTATCTTCTTTGCTCCCACATGGTGCCATTTGCTGTCTGACGGTGGAAAAATGTCTGGCTGTTTGATCGTCGGGGTCGTGTTCGTGTATGTCCATATCCACTTAGGCTCTGGGATATTGTCATCGACGACCCAGCCATTGTAATCTAGGTCATTGACGAACCAGATGCCTTTGGCCTCTTCAACTTCGACGAGCATATTTTGTCTCATTTTTTTTCTGTTCGGGGGAGCGTGGGCGTTTGGGATATGTTCCCAGGTGGCCTCTTTCTCTGCACCTGAAGCAGATTGGCGAGGCTTTGGTAGATACTGTTACTAACGTGACTTTGTCTCCAATGAGACATTGCCACTCTTCGGGGAACACTGGGGGGTCGTCAGTCAGTACCTCCAGGATTGTTGTTACGGAATCGCAGTGGGGTGCCAAGAAGTTGGATGTGGGGATGACCCATTTCAACACTTTGTTTGGGGGGTATTCGACTTCCAATCAATCTTTAATCAGGGGATGGCCTTTGGGTGGGATGTTGTCAAACTTCAACTGCTCCCTCATGAGTCGCTGTTTGTAGGAGGCGGTCGGTGAGACTTCAGCTCGCCGGGCTGTCTCCGGTTTCCAGCGTGAGAGGGTGCAGACAGATCCATTGCAGTTCAAGGTTTCACATTTCTCCAACATGTGCATTGCTTGATCTGCGTCTTTAAAGACCACGATCATCATGGTTCTACCCAAACCAAGCAGGGAGAACTTGTCGCCTCTGTTCTAATGTTCTCATGTTCTTGGATGGTTTTCACCATCCATTTTCTTTTCTCAATGGGGGATAGTCTTGCCCCGACGTTGGAGAAGGAGAAGATGAGAGCATGCTTCTCATATGTCGCGTTGGTGTCAGCGATCTTGTCTTTTGGGTATGCCCAGGCGGTCACTTCCTCGTCGGTGTTATCCTTCGCATTCCTGGCTTTGATTGTGACTTTCTCGGATTTCTCCCCTCTAATTTTTGGGGCTTCCAGCAGAAATCGAAGTGTCTCGTGATCTACGTTGGATCAACTTGGATGCCATTTGGGAGGGCTCCTTTGAGGTGGTTGTTCTTGTTGAAGCTGCCATGATGTAGAGGCGTTGGTAGGTTTGAGCCATTCCTGAGATTGCTCGTCGCTGGTAGTGTGGTGGGGTTCTTGTGTTTTTTTCTTTCTGCTTTTCTTCTTTTCGATGGAGGTTTTTTTTTTTTTTTTTTTCCCCCTTCTTCTAGGCTACGTGGTCCTGTAGGGTTTTATTTTTTCTTTATTCAATTGATTAATTGTGAGTGTTAGATGCGTTGCATTAGTCCACGTGTAGAGAACAAAAACAAATAATAATACTAAAAATTAGTAAAAATTAAAAGGTGTGAATCTTCCTTCTTTTTGTTTTTACCTGTGCGGCTGTCTTAATTCCACATTCGCGTCGCTATAGGTGTGTGGTTGCATACGTGCTGTAGGGGGGGGGGGGGGGGGGGGTACAGTGGCTGTCTCTTATACACATCTAGATGTGTATAAGAGACAGGCGAAATACACCGGTACAGCCCCGATGCAGCGGTCGATAAGTTGCTGGGTCCTTCCGTCCGCCAACTTGATCGTTGTTGGGTTTGCCCTCCTTCGAACTTGTGCGCCAAGGTCAGCCCTTTGCATAAAGGCTTGGCTCATAAAATTGTGAGACGCGCCGCTATCCAACAAAGCGTTGCAGAACGCTTGCCCAACTTGGATGGGGACAAGAGGAGCGGTGTGTTGTTGTCGTCGTACCGCTGATTGCAAAACTCAGGGGCCACCTTGGTAACATACGCAATGATGTCCCTCACCGCGACTTCGTCATCCGTCGGCGAAGTTGGTGGTGCATAGAAGGATAAGTACGTGTGAAGATGAACGCATAGTGCTGCGCATTGCGGTCCCGACAAGCGGCCCGTGGTCGGCAGAGGAAGCCATGCGAAATCCCCGGACGTCAGCGGGTCCAATACCTTTATGTTGAACTCGCGTACCGAATCCCGTGAAGAACCACTTGAAGACGATAAGTCGTCGCTGCCAGACGGAGAAGATGCCGCACACACGTCTTGTCCTTGAGCTTGAGTACCCAGCGTAGGAACGAGTCGGGCATGGTGTCGTGTTGATCAATGTTACACCACAGACAATAGCAGAATCTTGTGCGTGCCTTGAATGCTGATTCGGAGATACCGTAATAGGACCATGGGGCTTGAGCTGCTGCGCCGGGCCCAGGGCTAGATGCGGTGTTTGTCTTCGCCTTGCCGCGTCCTCGGCCTTTGTCGGGGCGGCCACCTTCCCGGGCGGCTGCGAGTCTGTCCCCTTCATTGGCGGACACGGCCTCACTAGCTTGGTCGCTTGGTGTTGCCGCTGCGACCACGGCCACTTTCGGTCGATGCTGATCTCTGCCCAGGCCTGGCGCAAACGAACGCATGAGATTCTTGGCCTCCTTGTTCGTGACAATAATCTGCGTGGCCGTGTCAAAAAGTTATGTCGGTGTCGTCAGGGTATCCTCGACGTGAGTCAAGGTATTGCCCAACGACGGACACAACCTCGAGATGAAGTAGTGTTTGATGGCTTTGAAGCCCATTTGGATGTCTTGGTATGGATGTCAAGCGTTGGTACTCGGCAATCCAGTCAACACTCGGCAGCGTGCCTTGTTTGAAGACCATCAGCTTGTCCATTGCCTTGATCTTCGGCGGCTCTACTTGGAACCGCTTATGCCATGCCGCCTTCAGATCATCCCAACTGATCTTGGTATGCAAGTCAGCAACTACCACTCCGTACTTGGACAAGAGATTGTCCAACCATGCTTGGCATGCGCCCCCCGACCGAGAGTACAAGTACCCGTGGTGTTTTTGTTCTTTGACGTAGTGTAGCTGCAGTGTGAGCTTGAACTTGCGGAACCATAAAATCGGATTTGTCTTCGTCGAGTCGCAGAAGATCTCCTGCCTGTCGAACTTTGGAGTTGTCTCGCGCGCGGTTCCGATCTCGAGTGGTTGGCGGCACTACAGATCTGTTGCTCCAATTGTTGCGTTGTGGTTTGCTGTAACTGCACGTGGTCCTTGAGGGAGCCGACGTCGATCTCCAATGCCTCGAGGCGATCGGAGGTGTTGGAAGAGCTAGCATCGGGGACGGCGACAGGTCGCTGCTCCAACTGTTGGAGGCGGCCGTGGACTTGAGTCAACGCGTCCTCGAGGTTGTGGATGTCCTCCTGCTGTGTAATGCATGTTGCCAGGAGGTCCGTGAGATGGGAGAGGAGTAGAGCGATCTTGTTTTCACTGTCTTCCATCTTGNCACACACACACACACACACACACACACACACACACACACACACACACACACACACACACACACACACACATACACTCTCCCTCTTGTCCCCCCCCTCTCTCTCTCGCCCTCTCTCTTTCTCTACTCTGGCTGCATTGAAATTCCATTACTTTGTGAGAACTGACTTCAGAGAAATCTTCTTATTGCTGGTTGTTTCTACTACAGAGCATTGTCCGTGTTGGTCCTGTCTGTCGTGACATCACAAAGCCTGAAGATTGCTCCGAAGCATGCAAGGAAGCTTCAAGAGAAGTCCGTAACTGTGTTCGTCGCAGAACTGACCAAGTGAGCACTGATGTAAAAGCTGCGCCAATGGTTCTGACATGCAGTGCAGCCTCAGCGGTTCGGCTGAGTGGGACCAGAATTACTATCGCTGCACTCATTCTCATTCTTAGTTTGCTTCTCCACTCATCATCGTAGACATACCAGCTCAAAATCTCACCTAGGAGAAAGAAGACAAAGAAAAAGAAACATCAACCTGGTCCAAGGGAGAGGTAGACAAAATACTTCTTTGATTTACAGCTCGTTCAACCTACTCACAGCGCTGCAGCCTTACCAAATGAAATTCTACACTCCTCACAGTGACAGAAAAGTACTAAGTAGGGATGCAGACAGCTGCAGATTAGTGGTAGGGATCTGGAGGTGCTGGAGAGACCTGCATCACATAAATCAAAGAGATATTAAGATGCATTCATTACATTTATTGATGCTGCCGGTTTCATATTTGTGATGTCGGCGTCATCTCGCTACATTTGAATTATTTTTGTAGTTCGTGAATTTCCAAATGGTTTTCATGAAACAGTGCTTGCAAGCAAAGACTGCACACGTTGCAATCTCGCTTAGAGACAGAATGGTACAGACTTGAACAGCAAGTATACATGAAATGTATGATGTTTTCATTGTTTTGGCCCTCTTTTTTAAATTGAGCTAATGGATGGTAGGCAGCTAGATTTCTGGGAAGGTAGGTAGGTATGAGTGTATGAATTAAATAGGGTGATGACTGCAGGATGCCGCGAAGGAGCGACAAAGAGGGATGTTTTTTATGAAGCATCAAATATATAAAGTTTGGGACAATTATGGCTTGGGTGGGAGGATGGATAGTCTAGGAACTGGGAATTGGAGCCTGAGCTTGGCTACCTTCTTCCCCCGAATACAACATACGGTCATTTTAGCTGTATCTAGACTGAAAGATGCCTCAAATACAGCTATAATGACCGTACGTTTTATTCGGTGGAAGAAGGTAGCAATAGGATAGCACAAACATTCTGTACGTGTTCAGAGAACTTCAGAGATAGATCTATTGCCAGCTATGGACACCTACATTGTCTCAAAAAAGAGGAGAAGGCGTTGCGAGGAGGGTGCACATGTTTTCAAGGGATGATGAGAGAGAGGTAAGGGACAGTTCTTGAAAAAGAGAGAACGCAAAAAAAAAGGGGGGACAGAATTAGTATATGAATTATGCATGCAAGCAAGATAAAGTGTACCAGGCTACTGGACATGGCACGGGCCACGAATGGAAAGGCTGATTGGCCTCAGAGAGAGAGAGAGAGAGAGAGAGAGAGAGAGAGAGAGAGAGAGAGAGAGAGAGAGAGAGAGGTTTTAGTCTATTTTAGTATTTATTTATTTTTTATTTTTTTTTCGGACTTATGTTTTTTTTTTTTTTTTTAAGAGATTTTAGGATGTTGAGTTTTGGACTATCTAAGCCATCAAGGTTGCCCTTTTGCGGAGGCTGATGACCCAGTAAAAAAACCAGCACCAATGGTCGGCGCTGATCGTAGCAAAAAAGGTTCTGGTAGTTTCAACAAGCGTTCGGGAATGCACAGCCGCTGGTATTTTGCCTACACCAGTACCCGTAGAAGAATAAAAGTGAGAACTGGGAGACTGATCTCCTCTTGACCTGAGCAGCAGAACTGTTACAGAAGGGTTGAGCGCTGGTGATGTTGTCACTCGCATTGTTCAGTGCTGGTATTTTGCTGTGAAATGTAACATCCATAAGCGCCTGAGTTTTGCAGGTCTGTTCTGTCTCAGACTGTCCACTTCAGTTCTTTTTTTTTCTTCTTAGAAAAACAAAACAAAACAAAACAAAGCAGGACCTTGACCCATCTACCCTCCACTTGGTCTCCTTCTACTATCTTTTCAACTGACTGAGATCTTTTATTTACTATTTAGTATTTACTATTTAGTAAATTGTTACCCCTGCTGAATGTGTTCTCGGAGCCGGTGCCCAGCAGTCCATCTTTACCCATCTGAGACTCTCCAGGATCCTGTCCTTAGTGCGCTGGTGCTCCTCCGACGTGGTGAGGTGAGTTTCCTGTAAGCAAAGAAAATCTGCGGGTTTCGCGTCGAGTCGAGCCACTCCGTGTACTTCATGACATTGTTCCACTTGTCGGGATTATCCAGAATCTTTGCCAGTCCGTTGATATTCCAGGACACTATCTTGAGCTCTGGTTCACTTCTATCCTGTTCTGTCTTTGCGTTAGCCTCTGACGCTTCGCTGGTCTCTCCTCTTCCGTGTGCTCCATGGGATCAGATCAGTGTGGCAGGCTCATTCCTTGCCCTGCTTTGATGTTTAAGATCCTGCCTGCGCCAAGTCTATCCTTGTTGCGTCCGCAGCGATCTTCTTTTCTATGTAGTCAGGCTGCCAAGAGAAGGCGTCGATCTCCACAACCATGGCTGCACTCCTGGCTACCCACTCTGCTGCGTCTGTTCCCCCCAACAGACCATATGGGATGGTCTCCACCACTTGCCATGGCATCCAGATCAGGTGTTGCATGCTGCGCCTGCACATGGGCCCATTTGCAGGGGCCCGACGGGTGCTGAAGGGCCCCGAGGCCGCACACCATCCAGCGCGCGCCCTGGAGGCCCACGGCGGCCCCCTAGGCCGCAGGCACAGGGTGAGGCAGCACTCACCCATTCATTTATTTATTTATTTATTTATTTATTTATTAGGTGAGGTGCTGCCCTACTCGTGCTGGTTCAGGAACCGTTTCGGACTTGCAGTCCCCAAGGCATGGCCTTGGGCTGGGTGCGCCAGGCGCAGGGCCGAAACAGGCCCAGGCGCATGTTGGCGCCACACTACAGGGTCGAAACAGGCCCAGGCGCATGTTGGCGCCACACTACAGGGCCGAAACAGGCCCAGGCGCGTTTTGGTGCCATACTGCACCCACCACGGTCTGGGCCCCGGTAGGGACCTCGACAGTGCAGGCCGTTCTAGGCCACACGACAGTTCGCCCAGTTGGGCCCAGCGCACTATATAGCTGGGCCTCCTGCTGGGCACTGGACAGTTCGGTCGCTCACTTCCTGAGCGACACGCTGCGGGATAGAGGCTGCGCTATTATAGCACTGCGTCACTGGACCAGGGAGGAGACGAACACACGAGGAGAGAGAGACGAAGACCTACCAGCAGCAGTGGACTTACCTGGCGCCATAGCTGGGCTCCGCGCGGTACCTGCACAGGCGGCGACATAGTCAGCACGGCGGTGGCACCTGTAGTTGAGATAGCGAGGAGGACGGCATCTTCTTCCCCCTCCTCGTCCTCCATCTCATCTCTCTCTCTCTCTCTCTCTCTCTCTCTCTCTCTCTCTCTCTCTCTCTCTCTCTCTCTCTCTCTCTCTTCTCTTCTTCTTCTTCTTCTTCTTCTTCTTCTTCTTCTTCTTCTTCTTCTTCTTCAGATACGAGAGTGTGAAAGGTTATCAGCAGAGGATACAGGTAGAGGTTATAACGGGCATGTTGCCTAGGATCTGATTCGACATTTTTGGGGCAGACATTGGTTGGACATCGGCAAGATAATATTTTTGGACTTCGCTATTGCGATCTGGGACTCCTCCCTCGCCTCCATCTTCGTCCTGTCTCTCCCTACATCCCTCATCTATGGTATCTCCCCATGTGCGTGTACAAGGAGGGACCTTTCTTCTTGGTCTGCGGTCCCTCCTCCTCCTTACACATGTGCGATGTATGATGGGATGTCATGTCAGTCCAGGTCAGGTCAGGACTTACCTTGATGTTCTCCGCTGCACTATTGAATGCCATTTCGTATGTATCAGGATGCACATTGCCTGTTGATGTTTCACTAACATTGCATTGTCCATTCAGTCCTTTTCATCACATTGCGGATCCTTAGCTCTACATACATTGCCCAACCGGGCATGTATCATCAGGCCTTCGTTCAACTTTGCTTCTTCCTATAGCCTGATCATGATGGGTCTGAAGTCCGCTGTCTGTGTGGTGCCTGCTGTGTCTGCCCACTCCTGCTTTTTCCTGCCTTAAGATCTCTTATCACGTAAGCCCATGTCGGCAGCTCGTCTGCTAGTAGTGTTTTCAAAGCCTTTCCTGAGCATCTGCTGTCCTCTTCTGTGATTAGGACCAAGGAGCGGTGAATGGCCACTTCCCAGTCTGAGTTGTTCCCGTTCCATCCGTAACGGATGATGAACCCTCCGCCCAGGGTTGCTCACGGCGTGCAGTTTGGATGCCACCTCTATCTACTTGTGGAGGGCGTATGATATCTTCTGCAGCTCCATCATGATGTCCCCCAATTCCCTGTTTCATTGATCTGCGCTTGCAAAATCACCACCTGCCTCGATCTACTGTCCCAATACATCTCAACCACGGCACAAGTGTTTAACAGGCACCCCCACTTTTCAGCCCCAGGTTAACCCACCCAGCACTGAAAAGTGCATTGATAATTCTTTTCAGTTTCCCGGGTTCCAGACAGTCTGGAACAACATGTCCGGGTCCGGTGTCCGGTCCTTATGTCCAGATGGAGGCCCCCAGGGCAAAAATCAAAAAAGATAAAGGGGTGGCCCAGGACGTTTTTCAGGTCCTTGCCGCCCTTGAAAAATAATGGGGTGATTTTTCAGTGTCATTTCACCCCAACGAACAGGGCCTAGAGGTCCGGACACAAGACACTGTAGGTTTTTGGAGTGGCGGGTTTCACACAGGCCCGAGCAATTTCAAAGTGTCCGTTTCGACGTGCCGCCCGCCGCTGCTGCCCGTTGCCGAGAGAGAGAGAGAGAGAGAGAGAGAGAGAGAGAGAGAGAGAGAGAGAGAGAGAGAGAGAGATCACTGACAGTGCTTCCAGTCTGAGGACTCTGATATTTTGAATTGAACTGCAAAGTTACATGAAGTTATGCACTTACTTAATTCAAAGTTCAACTTCAAACCTCATCATACTTTTTTTTTTTTTCCCTTTAGTCTTGTGCTTGCTTTGCACAGTTTGCAACTTTGCATGTCTGCTAGCTCAATGTGCTTGTTGATTTGCTGCAAGACAGGTGCTTTGCTGCCTGTACTACAAAGTGCAAAGCAGGTAAGTGTCTGCCAACAAGAAGAAGAGACCACCCCAGGTTGATTCAGTAATAGCCCCAGCCCCAGGAAACAATATCCATCATTCTTGGTGTTACTAGATGTATCAATGGGACGCTGGACCCGGTTTCCAGCAGGTGCTGCTCCCCACC